ACACAGAACAAAATATAGGTACGTTATGGTGCTACATGGGTACCTTCATGCATAAAGGCAAACGTTAATCTTTCTGATAACCCTTGATGGATCAGTTGAATTGATTTTAAGGGGGTGCTCATCACGTACTATTCCAGTGGCAACTCAAAGAACATTCAACATTACTTGATAACATTTTGCACAGTGGAGAGACAAGTCATGACTTGTTGCATTTGGCTGTTGATAAAGTTTGGACACTTGTTTCAGTTTGTAAATATTCCATTCAATCAAATTCTGTACTTCCTACTTACCCCTCAAGTGTTCAACTGTATTAATTATGTTTTCATAAACTGAAGGTCAATGCTTCAATTGTTCCTATCTTAGTAACACCATCTTCATGACATTGCTAAAGATGTCGATGGGCCTTTGTCTAAGTATCAGTGACACTTATTGCTTTAGGACCCGTCACGATATGGCTGAAATATTGCCGATGTGACGTTAACTATTAACTCACTCACTCACTCCTTTAGGAACCTGAGGTGTGTACTCAATGGAATATTGGCGGATGCATTCCTCATTCTGTGTGAAGCTATGGAGTAGTGATTCTTCAGAACTATTATCAATGTATGTATTTCCGAGTTGTATGTATAACGATCACACATGCTTATGAACAGATGTAGCTACACGGCGTGGCAGAAGGTTGACATATGTACATTTTGATACATGAACATAACTTGCCACCGATCGAAATCTTAATCTTTTAGTGAGTAATCAAACCTAAATCTTTTCTGTTTGAGATATATTACAAATACGAGTATCCCTCTGGTGAACAAAGGCACGAAAATAGACATTACTGTGTAAAAAACACACGATTACTCTTTATACTACTTACCATATATGAATGGGTTGAGACATGGGTTTGCTATCTCCAGGAAGATCATAACAAAGTGTGCCGTAATTGAATAATATCTGTAGAGTGAAATAGAAAATATACATGAATATAATACATGAGTTAGAAAGTTAAACTTAACGTCCCCTCGGCAATATTTCAGCCATATAGTGACGGGTAAAGATTTGCATGCACAATAAATACAAGTTGTTCGAATCCAGTCACCAAAGGTCTGTAAAATCTGTAGCGTTTCAGAGATGAAGGTAGTTCACCACACTAGGGACCGTGTGGACTTTCAGTGCTTTTGCTACCTAAGCTGGATTTACATCGTCCCTTCAGATGTTGGCGACTATGACAAATTTAGCCAAAGATATATAACGAAGACATATTCTACGAATAAACATGTGGTAGTAATAAATGCACTTTGAAAGACGTGGCCTTATGGTACTTACAAAACTTACTTACTTACATACCATACTGTTCAAAATTGATCTATCAATTAAAGTTCCTATTAAAAAACAATTAGCAAATGATAATTAAATGATAAAAGGTCCTTCATTGTTTTGACACTGAAATATTTATGTACCCTCTCGGAAGGACAATAGTTTTAAGGTACTTCAACCTCTCTTGAGGATACCGCCACTAATAATCTCAGCTGCTAAATTATACTACCATTTACAAAGTACCATGTTCAAAATTTATGTAACAATCCTATTTCCTTCAAAAGAAACAATTAGTAGATGACAAGCATGAAGCGTGAAGCGTATTTCTGGTGTCCCCGCCGTGATATTGCTGGAATATTGCTAAAAGCGGCGTAAAACCCAACTCACTCAATTCTTACCCGGATTGTTTTGGGCCACTTTGTCTTATAAATGATACATGTCAGTAACAGGTAGTGATGTTCCATATGTATTCGGTCAAGCATGTACTGCTTGACTGTGTTGAATTTTCCTTCACAAGGGATAAATATTTCAAAGTAAAAACTGTTAAGGATCTTTTTAATAATGTCAATTATCATTTTATTATCGAATTTTTAAAAGAAATAGAACTGATAGATGAATTGTGATTGATATACATACATGCATTTTTAGTATTCGTGATTTAAGTAAAAAACTGAATTTGTGAGTGGCTGTGCCTTCGAAGGGGGTTGACGTAGCGTAAAAATATTGTCCTCCTGAGAGGGTACGTAAGTCCCAAAACACTTCAAGCAAATTTAAGTCTACCAGGTTTTTAATCGAAGTATTTTTGTCATTTTAATGTATGGCCAAATCTCAGCATAATCGCCAATGGCTGAAGGGATGGTGTAAATCAAGCTCGGGTCCATGCAGGTAGCAAAGGCACTGTAAGTCCCATGGTCCCTAGTATGGTGATCTACCTTCAGTTGTTGGCGATCTATAGCCGGTGTTTTATATTGCATTATCTGCTTTAATTAAAATGTTTTAGTTTTCCATGCTAGTTTTATATCCATATCTGTGATACTCTAGTTATTTTACAGTCCGTCGATGACTAGTTATTTGCCTACTTGTATTTGTTGTATATGCCCAACATTTCTCGTCACTATATGGCTGAAATATTGCCGAGGTGACGTTAAATTTTAACTCACTCACTCACATATGTATTCAGGTCACCATATCGTTACCTGAAGAGCCAATCATTTCCAGTCACCGGAGCACAGCAGAGGAAGAATACTACATCTGAAAAAATATATTGTATGTGCATAAATTTTTCGTGCATTAAACTTCGAAATAGCTGTATAATACGGTCTACATATATTTTCTTTGTATATTGATACATGTTTGTAGTTATACTTTAAACTATTTTTTGTCAGTTGCTTGATTGGCATTTTAGAAGATGCTGTTTGATGAACAAAGAGAATATTATGGGTTTCATCTTCTTTTTATTGTTTAGTACAACGTTTCAGGGCTTGTTCTGGACCCATCACGTGTGTCATTAAATGCGTCATAAGCACTGTGACGTCACGGGCAGAATTAACAGTTACTGTTCTTTAGTTCTACCTGAAACGTTGTACTAAACAATAAAAAGAAGATGAAACCCAGAAGATTCTCTGTGTTCATATTTTTTTGTCAGCCTCATCATCACCTATTTCAGGGACACAAAAAGATGCATTCAGTGATACAAATATTCATATCAGTTATCCATACCGTAAGCCAACACTATTCCAATATCTCTGCCAATGAACTGAAGGTCTGTTGAGGAGTCATCGTCACGTGTCATCTTCTCATAGCTGAGTGTTCCTGAAGAAAGAGTAACACTGACACATTGTAAACAGTATTGTACTTACACTTGCCACAAAATACTTCTTGGACCATACATTTAAACCACCCTTTATGATATATCAGGATATTATAGATATATTAATAATAAAATATCGATTTTTGTGTTGTCTATTGACATCATTATAATTGCCCAATCAACAAAGAGCAAAAACTAAGCATGTATGGATCGTGCGTGCGTGTGTATGGGTGGATGAATGAATTTCTTCTACATATTACAGTTTGTGGAACCAAATAATCCTGCATAATAACCCGGAGTGTGTGCTAAGATACGTGTTCAAAGAAATATATCTTATATTATTTACCCTTTTTGCAGCACCATACAAATAATGATGGGAGACCAATCAGTATCATCATGAGAAGTGGAAGTAGGAAATACACCGCCATGTGCACCAATGGACCCGGAGCAAAACGAGTTTCTACATCCATAAGGCAAACGTACATTTCCTGACTTCTGTACGTCGCGTTTAACAGATGGTAGAAGTAGAACTGAAATGAGACAAGAAGATGCAACTTTAAATCAACAGGTCTTGTTTTGCAGTAAAGAAATGGAAATATGAAAACCAAAACAAATACATAGCTCTTTGCCAAATGATCAAATACTTAGCCGTTGACACAGTAAAATACAGTTTCGATTCCACTTCAAAATCCTTATCTTTCTGGTATGGCTTGTATACCGCATAAAGCAACTTAAATACAGTTTAAAACGTAAATCTCAGCATGTGCTTACCTTAACGGCACTGGCAATAAAGGCAGTTGCAACGGACAACAGCAGGAAGACGATACGCAACGCCTTGATGGAGCGACTACAGGTGATGGTGAAAAGATTATCGATATTGAATCCAGCCAGGATGAGATGGGACATAGTACCTCCAAACATCTGAAAACCTGCAAAAGTTTACATCCATAATATCCGCCTCTCCATACAACGGTTGCCTGAACGCCAATGGTGACTCCGCATCGAACACACAAGCCCAGCAAATCAGCAACACAAATGGCAAGGAGGTAGAAATGCATCCTGCTGCCTGTCTTCCATGATTTGTAGAGAGACCTGATCATCCATATGTTGGCACAGACTCCAATGTATAGTAGAACGCTGTTGACTACAATTGGCGTCGCGTATGGTATTGCCGCTTCACTGCTGTAATCATAGTCGTATGTGTAGTCACTCGAGTTGAAATATTCATCATCCATGTTTAAGGAGTAGAAACAGATCCTCCACGCAGTCCTTACCCGTTGATCTCTTCTGCTGTGGAATGTGTTCAGACAAGAAAATGACGTTCGGGTACAAGAGGTAATTGTAAATCATTAAGGTCGGCGGGATACTTGGGCGGGTTGAAACTGCACATATATTGTAAAGGCCAATAATTACTAGCTTGATATTCACTGACACGATTAAATTGCAACATGAAAGGTCATCATCGTGCGTTTGCATGCAGCTTGATGCTGGAATGCTATAGTTTCAGTGTGTGAGTTGGGTAACGCTTCCGTGAACAGATGCATCAGTTTAACGTGGGAGGAAAAGCAGCCGTTTAAAGTTTAAAGTCCAGAGTTCGGATATGATGTGACATACTGGAAACAGGCCACTATTTGAACTCCGGCTTGAAGAGAGTGTACGGAATCATTATTATCGATGGCAATGCTCAGATTAGTGTTCACTAATAGTTCGACCCGTAAAGATCCGGGTTGGAATTGATCTTCAGTAACCCATGCTTCTCTTAAAAGGCGACTAGCGGGATCGGATGGTCAGGCTCGTTGACTTGATTGACACATGTCATCGTATCCCAATTGCGTAGATCGATGGTCATGCTGTTGATCACTGGATTATCTGGTCCAGACTCGAATATTTACAAACCGTTGAAATATTGCTGAATGCGGCGTAAAACTAAATTCACTCACTCAATCACTAATTATTCAGCAATGATGCCTCACTATATATGCACTGGAGTTTTCTTTCTCCCGTAGACTATGAAGAAAAGACCTGTGGGTTGGAAAGAAAGAATATCTTCAGAAATAAGTCAGAAGATAATACTGTTGGACGACACATTGACAGGAATAACAGGAATCTATACATACAGGAATTAAGTAGTTATGTGAGAAGCATACATACCGTAGACAAGAGGATTAAAGCAGTGGTTTACCATAGACAGATACGTTAAAGCATCCCATATCTTCAAGTAATGATTTCTTTCGTGGAACAGTCCTCTGAAAAACCATATACGCACATACATATCTCTAACACAATGTTGCCCAGTTCAGCTCACTCAGATCTTAAAACTTTATCAAATAAGACATAACAAGACAGCTATACATTTATAAGTTTTAAACACTGCAGCTCCAGCCTTTGGTCCTCGTGACCGTCGTTTCGACAAAAGTAAACATTTACTATAATTAAACTGTGTCAGCCGCGTTTGAAGTCGATGGTTACTTTTTATCACACCGTATACATGTACACCACCGACAAAAGCCACTTCATTGATCACCAGCGATCTCTACATTGACACATACTTATCACACAATCTACATTGCTTGCAAACGTGGATCATGCCATTGAAAACGTACGTGTGTGTAAGAAGAAACATCTTCATGATGCTGTACGGCAGCCAACATACAGTAAAAAGGCAGTCTGCAAAACAAATAGAATATGTAACTAGCATATCTGACTTTTTATGTCAGTGACACTCACGCGACTCGCGTGTGTGTTATGCAACATGCCGTAAGTGCCGGCGCATTTGTTTATTCAGCTCATCTAATTGACCCGTGCGTGCCCTGTTGCTAATTTTCGCTTGTTATGCATTGTAATTAACATCTTTGAACACCTATGTATGTACCCTTTTGTAGGGGAGTTAACTATCTCTTTTGTATATGTGACTCCCGTCACTGTATCTGTTTTTATAAGGGAGATATAAGCGTTTATGCCGCTCCAACCTTTATGTATACCCCTTATTTTATCACGGTTTTAACTACAAAATTGTACAAACTATTGTCTCAATATCCACCAATATCTATTTGTAGCAGAGCTCGCGCTCTTCTTATACATGTATTCCCCTTCACTATACATACGCTTACAAGTTAGTTATAGTCGTTTATGTACCCAAGTATTAGCACACTTCTTTGCTCGTCAGAGGCTAGATGCAAACTTTCACCTCGCGTCGTGTATTGTCCTCTGCGACGTCCGCGCGGTTACGTTATAGCTGGACGGGGCCAGTTATCTAACACACTTGGGGAAAGTCTACACTGCTTCGTGCATGGCGACCAGCTACCTATTTGTCAATAGCTGGGTCGTGGGACGACCTGAGGTCCGAACTTGGGAGCTCAAGACTGTTTTTTGTGACGGTATATCTTGTTCTGGTCTGTTTGTCCTATTGATCACTTGGGGTTTTAAATGTTGATTGGCCGATACTCTCCCTGTAAGTGGCAGTAGTTAGGTCCTCATTATCCCCCACTCATTGGGTGTCACCAGTCAATATATGTTCTGACCCCTGAGCTAGTCTATTAAGGCGAGTTTACTTAACTAGCTACTTGTTGTTTTCAGCGGCTTGTTGTGCTTGAGGTGCAAGTTCATTCATGCTTGAGTGGGAACTTAGCTTTAATAAATGGTTGTATCAACAATCGGGTAGTGTATTTGCTTACTAATCTGGATTATTTTCCATCCAGTCTGCCTTGACGGTAGTTGGCGCCGTGACACCATATACTTCAACGTCGAAGTCTAATCAGTCGAAAACGTCATATTTTACTACAGTGCTCATTACGTGCTCATACATAATTCACGTTGTTAGAAATAACTTATGTACTGTGCTTTGGTATCACAACTTCCCTCTTTCTGCAAGAAAACTCCTTTTCCGTTCGATCAGTTTATTTGGGGTTTTTAAATAACAAATTGCATGTATAAAGACAAGGAAAACAGGTACCTTTGATTTTAGTGATAATACTGACTGACTGACTGACTGACTGAGTTTAGTTTTACGCCGCTTTTAGCAATATTCCAGCAATATCACGGCGGGGGGACACCAGAAATGGGCTTCACATTAGTGATAATACATTTTACCTAATGTTGTGGTATATAAGATATCATATTTCATGTCCCACAGGTCTCTCTTAGCGTCGTCGTTGTCGTCGTATTGTTGTCGAACTCCCTTCTCGGTAGAATAAACTGAAAACATATTAAAATACGATTGTTTATCAACAGATGGCAGTATTCACATCCACGTGGGACTCGAATTGTTAAAATGGTAACTTACTTTACGTAGCTATTATTGCCTTGTTTCAATTCTGGTTTGGTGTACCGCTTCTGAAATACTTATGGCTTTGATGTCTTGCACTACATTCTACGTTAACTCCAGTGGTCGGTCATGGGGATGCGTCAAGCAAACAATTCTTTTTTAAACAATCTTGCAATCTCGAGCAAACTATTTATTGTCTTCAAGACTATCCTCAGACAAAGTTTTGTTTAGATGATACCACAGACCCCAACTCATAATCCCGAATATCAAACGGTCGGTACACCACATATTGTATATCAACTGAATCACATTGCTGTGAGAATCGTTAAACATAATCACCATTTCGCCTGTGGATGAAGGCCAATGCACCACAGACTGCAATAAGCAGTCCGGGAAACAAAACAACAGCAACAACATCGACTACTCCATATATCAATTCTTGATCCACTGAGATTCTTCCAAATGGGGTGCACTGTCTTAGTGTGGCGTATATGGGGTGTATTTCAATGTGATATAAATGCATCTGCAAAAGAAGAAAGATATGCTAAAAGACATATTATGTATTCAATTTTGAATACATTGTGGTATGACAATGAGGTGTCTACATCTGACGACACATTTGAATGAAAAAGCAGTGGGGTTGTAAAGGGGGACAGGCGCTGAGAGAGAGCCCTGTACTTCTACCCAGAGTAGAGGGGCGGTGGGGTAGCCCAGTGGTTAAAGCGCCTGCTCCTCACGCTGAAGACCCGGGTTTGATTCCCCCCATCGGTACAGTGTGTGAAGCCAATTTCACATGTCCCCCGCCGTGATATTGCTGGAATAATGCTAAAAGCGGCGTAAAACCATTACCCACTCACTCACTAACCCAGAGCAGCACCATTGGGAGGGCACAACATAACGCATTATCAGTACACACGATGTCTGTATATTTACACCAAGACATCAAATTCTCCTAAAAGTAGAAAGTTGGTTAATGTTTTAAATTTCAAAACAACCATGAAGCTTTCATATAGAGGAAAGACATATGATCTACATATAATGTCTATAAATTCACACTTTGTTATCAAATTCCCCTAAAAGTAGAAAGTTTGTGAATATTTTTATTTCAAAACAACCATGACAGATTCATATAGCGGAAATACTATTCATCGGGAATCATTTAGATTTGAGGAAATATATATGTATGTATTGATAAAACAACGTAAGAGAACACATTGCAGTTTTGTGGTTACGGCTTTCAACACATCGTGAAAGATATCACCTCACAATATTGGGTGTGGAGTTTGTATATATGAGGTTAAACAAAATGCGGTATAGTCTCAAGATTTCCCAAGCACATACACTATTACATGCAATGCACATACTTTATGTTCAACCATTCCTCTAAATTATCAACTTCTGTATATGTTCAAAATAGTGAGTGAGTTAAATTTTTACATCGCATCGGCAATATTACAGCCATATGGCGATGAGAACAAGTTGAATAATGTTAAAAGTCTGTCTACAAAGGAAGGTAAAATAGATATTCAATATCTCAGTTAATTATAAAACAAATCCATTTTTATCAAAAATATTATTTTCTCAGACAGTTATGTGGTATGAACGTAAACTAGTGTATAGACCACGAACGACCCAAGTTGGACCACCTTCCTGAGGATGAAGTGGACTTACTGTACATGACTCCTACATGATCCACAGGAGGGTTTACGTCATCACTTTAGCCACTGGCTGTATCTAATGTTATAAATAAAGCTACCTTTACACCGATGAACAGGGCGGTCATTAGCACAGCACACGCTAGTTGACAGAGTCGTACTGGTGATGGAGACTGTTTGTAAGTCACAACAACGAGGTTGTCAATGTTGAAAGTGACAAGGACTAAATGTGCAAGGAAGGTTCCAGCCATTGAAATAGACATGATGATTTTGCAACCGATTTCCCCAGTGTTCCAAGTTTCTGTCGTATGCAGACCGACTTCGACGCACTGTCTTAAGATAAGCCCCAAACAATCTGCAACACACAGAACCAGAACGTAAACCTGCACTCGGTTCCTGGAAATCCATGTCTTGTGAAGATGGATTAGAACGCCCAAATTTGTAAATATCCCAGTGTAGAGAATAACACTGTCACAAATGATATTCTTCTTTGTCGACTGGGAAAATTCCATGTTTGGTCCAATGCTGTAAATCAGACCAGATAGATGTAAGACACACTGCGTTGTATAATGTACATGCCAGTGGAACCATTTAAGAGATGCACCATCGGGTAATTGCTTTAATTGGCCTAATCAAATCTCTCAGTTCCTTGCCAATTACAATTATGATATTATAGTGGAATGTGTATAATGTTCATGCTTTCACAAATTGCATGAATACAGAGTGCGTTATTAAGACTCATAATTAAATGTAATTGATATGGAATATAACTAGGAAACATACATTTCGGAATGCTGAGCATAAATAACGAAAATCTTTCTAACCAGATTGAATGAGTGAGTGAGTGAGTTTAGTTTTACGCCGCTTTTAGCAATATTCCAGCAATATCACGGAGGGGTCACCAGAAATGGACTTAACACATTGTGCCCATGTTGGGAATCGAACCCGGGTTTTCGGCGTGACGAGCGAACGCCTTAACCACTAGGATACCCCACCGCCCCAGATTGAATGAGCATGAATAAGATTGACAAATGTGTAAGAAGACATTCAAATATTATCAAGAATGATGCAGTGATTGGTAGTCCATACACATTGAATATAAGGGTAACATGTTTCTCGTTAGACTAGAAAGTCAAGAAAAGAATGAAGACAGCGCACGAAAACAGGACTGGACCGGGTTTTTTGAAGTCTCCAAAATCTCACTGGGGTGATCGGGGTCTAGGTTACTGTGGCAGAACATGTATCAAGATGGTGCATGCGCTGACAGAAAGCGTGGGTGTAATTCCGATGAGAAGCTATTAGATTCTGCTGGTAACGATGAGGCCTTGAATTTCTTTCAACGACATAATCAGGCTTATTATTTTCATGGGTCACTTGTGTTGTCGTATTTGCTGTAGCTAAATAAAATGTCCACAGCATCGTACATTAATAAGAACATTAAAGTTCTAACCGTCACTCCTGGACTGGAAACACTGTCCATTCGTCATTACCACACTGACAAAGTGATACGCTGGTTACTGTAAGTGCCGTGGGGAAAGCGGACAGCTGGAATTCGCGTCGGTTTTGGAAATGTATGATCGGCATCCCTTCACGTTGGTATTTGTGTTTCAGCTTCTTCACATGGTTCATGTATGAGCTACCCGTGGAGATCCGGGTTGGAAATGATCTTCAGTAACCCGTGCTTGTCGTAAGAGGTGACAAGCGGGCTCGGGTGGCCAGGCTCGATGACTGGGTTGAAACATGTCATCGTATCCTATAGTCCGTTTGGCTCAGAAGCGGACCGATTAATTGCAATCTAACTCGAAAACTAATAAACATAAAATACTCAATGAAACGCCGATCATAATGAAAACATCAGACCAACTCTGTGTGACTTTTGCAGAATTAATGTCCTAAAAATATATTAAAATTGTTAAACAAACTATCATTAAAATATTGACAAAGTTCACTATTTGTTACGAGGGAAGAGTGCAAAGTGAGGAATTCCAAATAGATACCTGTCTAGATATGGGCAAGAAATGAAAATCATGTTGCCTAAATACTGAGAGAATCGACTAAGGAAACACATGAAAGTACCTGTTCTTTTCCAGGTTTCTTTGCAAGCTGTGTATTACACTGTGGGAGAAAATCTGGGAATAGATAAAGAACATTGAGATGAAAGAGGTAGTCCCTTATTTGTTTCCCTCAGTATATGAAACACAAAGACCTAGATGTTGGTGGAAAATGCAATATGTTTCCCTGTTCTCAGCATGTATTCAAAAGAAGAAAACAAAACATTCCGCTTCAAATTGATATTCCAGTTTTGATAAGAAATTGAATTTCCAGCCAGCATTACCATAAGATCATGCTGTACAGCAGCGTTGTAACATATATCACATTAAAAAGAAATTGATGGAATGTAATTTGATCTACTGGTGCCTTCAGGATTTATCATCTCAAGTCTTTTTGTGTATTTTCCATCTCCCTCGTGATTTAACTCATTGATGATGCAGGCGAAGTACATTATTGTAAGATGGATGAGATCTCTGCTGAATGTTTACAGTGAAAACTTTCGTCAATTCCAGACATAATTTATATGTTTTGATTGTGAGTGAGTGAGGTAAAATTGAGAGTCACATCGGCAGAATTTCAGCCATATCGTGATTATGAAAGTTGTCAATTTGTAAATGTATACATGAAATAAAAGCAAACTTACATACTTTCCTTTCTGCAAAAGAGACCGCCTCCGTGGTGTAGTGGTTAGAGCGTCCGCCCGGAGAGCGGAAGGTCGCGGGTTGGATCCCCGACCGCCATGGGGACTTACTGTGCCTTTGCTACCTGCATGGACCCCAGTTGGATTTACACCATCCCTTCAGCCGCTGACGATTGTAGGAAAATTTAGCCAAACTTAAAATCACAAAAATACTGCGTTTAAAAATCCGGTAAGTTTAAATTTACTTTGAATGTATTGGGACTTACGTACCCTCTCGCGAAGACAATAATTTTAGAGTAATGCTTTGATTTTGATTCCTGGATAAAGTTTGCAAATCTAAACCTTGAGATCTTTTTTAGAAATAGCTAAAGAAATATTCGTAGATTTCCTCTAAGAAATGTGAATTTTAATAGCCTTTTTTGCAACAAAAATAACCACAATAAAATGTATAACAACAATAGCAATATTCCAGCTATATGTCGCAGGTCTGTAAATAATGTCTGAAGTCCGGTTCAGACAATCCAGGGTTCAACAGCATGAGCATCGATCTACGTACTAAGCTGTCACTACGCGCCTTTGGGTTGCTGACCCGTTGCTGACCCGGGTTAGAATTGGTCTTCAGTAACCCATGTTTGTCGTAAGAGGCGACTAATGGGATCGGATGGTCAGGCTCGCTGACTTGGTGGACACATGTCATCGTATTCCAGTTGCGTAGATCGATGCTCATGCTATTGATCACTGGATTGCATGGTCCAGACTCGATTTATTTACAGGTAGCTGAAATATTGCTGAGTGCAGCGTAGAACTAAACTCACTCACTGTTACTGCTTGACCATACTCAAAAGCAGAAGTTCTCTGGTATCAGACGGCCGGACGCTTATATCTTCCACTCAGTGTAGTCTTTGTAAAGTGAAGACGTCAAATAACATTTATTCGTCGTTTTGGAGTAAGTTCGACATATCACGTCTTCTGGAAAATAACAGATGGAGAGTTATATAGGCATGCTTCATACCACGAACCGTGATGCTGCACTTCGATTCAACGAACGCGTCCCTGGAAACGAAAACATTTGGAACTTATGGTGACGTTTGCAGCAAAACTATCAAATTTTAGATCTTACAGCCCGGAACTTTAATTCTGTGTCCAAGACAAGATTTTTACAAATGGCCCCTTAACCAAGTTGGCAACAGAACGACCCTGGATTGACGTATCTTCACGATAACGCAAAACCACACTGCTCGAGTTGTACAGCAGTGTGTTATTCAAAACATGTTAATGTGTTACCCTGGACGGCAATATTCCCTGATTTGTCACCCACTGAATACGTCTGGGAAGAAATGAAGCGTCGTTTACATCGTCATCCATAGCATCCAACAACGCTGCAGGAACTCCGCCAATGCCTTCCTTGGATAATGAATTATCTTCCCCAGGACTTTCCTCGACGTTCAGTGGCCTCTGTGAGGTGAATGTGCCTGGCCTGCATCAATGCATCAATGCACACAAGTGCAGCTCAGGGACACACAAAACGACCATAGGCCACAGCGGGAAATTTCATCCTAATCAATTAAAATCTGATAGGCCACAGAGCGAAGTGCCATAGAGGTACTAAACCGGGTAGACCATGTGACCAATTGAACTTGCCTGTCAACCCCCTTTAGGTTTGTGGCTCATGTTCAAGGTGTGCTATCCAGCAAGACTCCATGCAAAGGTACTGTAAGTCCCCGTGGCCTCTAGAATGGTGATCTACCTTCAGTTGTTGGGGACCTGTAACCCACTGAAGACAGAAATAGTGTTTCATGGTTATATCCTAATTTAAAGTGTAAATCTGTGATAGGCTAATCCTTTGCAGAAAGGTAAGTATACTCATGGAAACGAATAAGGGAACACATGAAAGTACAAGTGTTCCTTTATTCTTTTCCAGAATTCTTCACAAGGTATGTATTGCACTGTGGATGAAATTCTGGAAATAAATATAGGAGCACTTGTACTTTCATGTGTTCCCTTATTCGTTCTTATTCGTTTCGAGTATATATATAAGTATGTTTTTATTCATTTATACATTTACGAATTTACTCATTTCAGGGACACCATATGGCTGAAATATTGCTGATGGGACTTTAAATTTTTACTCACTCACTCACGCTGTGCTGTTATGGATTGTTAATCGTTACCATATCTTGAAACATTAGTCTTTGCATGTAATAACATTTCAGTAGCGACAGTAGAAGGCGAACACTGGTTCTTCCTGTTATTTGTGTATCACAGTAACGTTTGCCTAAGGGTAGATTTGTAATTGTCATTGTTGGTAATCTATTCTTAGCGCTCTTAATCCTGCCCTTCACCCTTCACTTTTCTCCTGGGACACAAGTGAGTCTGTCAACACACACCCTTGCGAAGCATGCTGCTTCTTGGTGGTAAAATTTCCGAGTTTCAAAACAAAATTAACACATGCATACTTAGTGTCTCTCACTCATCCTGAACTGCATGCGCTCCTCAGCATCTGCATCATCTGGCGCAATGACCCTTACGACATCTCTGTAATGACTTCGTGAATACAAACATGCCATTTCCAGTAGACGCTGACCTTTACACTAGTGTCCTGTGACTGCAATTATTGCCGTAAGAATTTGGAAGGTTTCTGTATTTCCAAGTACGTGACTACGTTTGTCGTCATCAGACATCGGCTTAGGTGTCACTCAATGGTGTGTCGTTGATGGTTCCCGTCAGACGAAGGATCAGTTTGTGTCACAGGCAGCTCTAATTATTATGATGTGCCATGTTTGAGTGAGTGAGTGAGTTAAGATTTAACGTCACATCGGCAATATTTCAGCCATATAGTGACGAGAACAATTAATTTTATGCATATTAAGCAATGGT